GCAGGAAAGCCACGCTCCTCGCCTAGCAGAGCTGGCCCGCGTGCTCGCAGTCCCGGTGGTTCCTGCAGCCCTGGCCTCCCCTGCGTCGCAGCCCGTCTCGCTGCTTCCTCCTAAGGATCTTTTATTTTGCTGTTAATCCTTAAGTGTGGGGCTCTAATGCAAGAGAAGCCATGTAACATTCGAGCCCATGTGTTGCACTTATTTGACACGACATTATCAGAATGGTGACTTGACAGTGCTTCGCCATTAATTCTGCGCTTTGGATATTTCCTGTCCTTGTTTATCCTGAGCTTTGCTTCTGACTGAGAGAAGATCTGCTTTTGTTAATAGCACGTTGTCTTCTCAGTCTTGGCCCTGATTCTGAATGTCTGAGGGTGCTGCTGCCCTGGATTTGTGGCTCGTGGCTCGTGGCTCTCTCCTGCCACCCACGCTATCCTTTACCTGACACGAAAAAGGGTGGCTCAGGACACGGGCAGCAGTGTGAGCACTGTGGGAGGGGGCGATCAGGGTTCAGGGGACCTCTGCCTGCTCCTTGGTCACCCGGGGGGGCAGGGAGGGGGCTTGCGCGGCCTGGCCCGGCGCCGTTCCCTGCAGTCCACCCGCCGAGTTTCCTCAGCCCAGAGGCCTCCGCAAGGACCGCCCTTTTCAGCTGGGGCTTGGGTTGGGTCAGACTGGCGGGGTGAGTCCTCCCTTCTCTGGGGCGGGGACGCTGATGCCTCCCCTCTTCCCTGAGGTCCCTCTTCCCATCTGGGCTGGATCCCTGCTCCTGATGAGGACATGGCCCGTCTGGATGGGGCCTTCCGCCCTGACCTCGGTCTACCTCCATTACTTCCCTAAAGCCCCCCTGCCCACACAGGCGCATTCTGGGGTCCTTGTTCATCACGTGAGTTTCCAGAGGACACAGTTTAGCCCCAAACGCAGGCCCAGAAGACCACCAGGAGACTCCTGGGGATTCAGCCTTCCTGCCAGCGCCTGGGAGTGACTGCGCTGCAGGACGAAGGGTGGCCCTGCCCGCAGAGTTGGGGGCAGAAGCAGCGGGCCAGGCCCAGGAGCAGACTAGGTGGGCCGGCCCTCCCTCTGCAGCTGAGCTCAGCTCTCTGCGCTCCAGTTCTCACCTGCTTCGCGTGCTTCACGGTGCAGGTGTGGTTATGCAGCGGTTTGGCCTGTTTCCTCGCGCTCTGAGGGGCAACGGACAGCAGGCCGGGCTCCTGCCTCCAGGGCTCTGTGAGCACCGCCCCTTCTCCAGGCCTGGGGCCTGGGCCAGCCAAAGCCCCTTCACCGGTGCCTGGGTTTTATTTATTTTCTTCATTAAGGTGCAAAGAATCACAACTTCTGTCCTCCCCAGAATCATAAAATTTTACTTTATTTTTGTGGAACCGGGGATTGAACTCAGGTCCTTGCGCCTGCCAGGGAAGCGCTTATTTCACTGAGCCATCTCCCTGGCTCCTAAAATTTTACTTTTTGTATACATGTATATATTTACAACTAGCATTTTTTTAAAAAAAAATACGAAACGGTAAGAAAGGACAAAAAACAAATAATACAGAATTTCACTAAACAAAATTAATAAGAATTGGACAATGATTATTGTATTACATAATGTTATCTTCAAATTAGTTGTTTAAATTACCAGATATAAACATGCAAAATTAGTTTTAAAAAGTTATAGGAAAAAAAGTTACAAGAAATTAAAAAGAAGAAAAAACATTTAAGCATTCACTGCTCCTTTCAGCAGACCAGCAGAAATCTTCTGTGCAGTTATTCAAGCTATCTTGCACATATACATAAATATATCTTGTTGTCTTGCTAGTGTAAAAAACTGAAAGAGTAAATAAAATCTGAAAAGGACAATAGACAGTGTGAAAGAAAAAGATTTTATGTCTTTAATTTTTTTTTTTTTTTGTGTGTTTGGTATAGGGTCTTCAGGGTCTCACTACATAGATCAGACTTGTGGCAATTCTCCTGTTTTCAGCCTCCCGAGAGCTGGGATTACAGAGACATGCCACCACGCGCAGCGCACCCCACAGGTGGGGCTGGTATGGCACGCTGGGGATTGAACCCCGATCTATGTCTTTATTTTTAAAAACTGCAGAATTTTGAGGTGCAAATAATAGTAAAAACTGTACCCATGTTTTGATATATGTGTATGTTGTAAAATGATTCTTAGAATCGGGCCCATTCACTGCGAGCTCGTCCGGCCCGGCCTCACCGTGGCCCTGGGTTAGCACATCTTGAGCCCGGTGCGCGTTACCGACCGCGGCCGCAGTATCTCAGCAACCACAGTTTCCCTTCTTTGCTGCGAAATTGACCTTCAGATACACATCTCCACTTCAACACCTTTTTTCTTCTTCATTTCTTGGAATACTTTCGTTTTTTTGGTTTTCACTTCTAGGCAAAGAAGTTATGTTGTGCGCACGTAAGCTCTGCTTTTACCACTCTCCCTCCTAGTTTCTGGTATTTTCATCGCAATGACGCTAAAGTGCCATGCTTTGTTTTTAGAATTCACTTTATTTGCTGAAGCTTTGAGGTTGCTTCAAGTTCTCTAAAGACTGCACCATTCCCTTCAGTAGTTTTCCTGATTTAGGCCAGTCCACTTTTATTTTCCTATTATTATTATCATGATGATGATGATTAAATAGACATCCATGTCCCTTGATAAACTGTTTTTGCCTTCAGCTTGTTTTTGTTATTCATCTCACTCTTGTGACTTTTACTGGAAGCAGGGCATTTGTGATGCAGCATTGTGTGTGTTGTGTGTGTGTGCGTGTGTGTGTGTGCGTGTGTGTTGTGTCTCCGAAGGCCACACGCTTCCTTGCCCGGCCAGCTTGTCTGCTGCCGCGTGCTGCTGTCAGGGCTGCACAGCCCCTGCTGCTCTGGCCCTCCGCACCTGTGTCTCCCTTGCCTTTAGGGTACCGCAGTGTGCGCTCTGCAGCTCGCCCTCACACCCGGTGAGGCTGTGTCCCCTCCCAGCTTGCTTTGGACACCACGTCCTCATGCTTGTTAGTGGTGGCAGGCAGCAGGCACTGAAATCTGGAGGCCCTTTTGTTTCCCTCACTGAGAGCAGCAGGGCCACAGGGCTCTCCTGTCACCCTGCCTGTCCTGAGTGCTGTCACGCGACGCCAGTGCTTTCTGACTGTGCAAGGGTGTGAGGGGCGTGGTGGCGCAGTGAATCCCCAGCTCCGGCCTGAGCAGTGGGCGCTCAGTCCTCCCTGTCCCAGCTTTTCTGGGTTTCGTAGGAAGTGCCAAGAATGGGCTGGGGAACCCTGACTCAGAGAAGAGCAGCCCAGTGCTTCCCTGAGGTGCATTTTCAGGTCCTGAGAAAGGAGGTTTCTCACGCTGACATCTGCCTCTTTTCTTGTAGGCAGAAAATGACCACACCTGAAGGAGAATTTCATGGTCAAGATGGGAAAAGTAAGTCCTTGCTTCCTAAGGTTCTTCACGCGGGGAAGCGTAAGTTGAAATGTCTTGATTATCAGTGGTTCTCGTGACGGGTTTTAAGAAAGACTGCAAGAGTCGTGGTTCATGAGCTCCACTGTCCCATAAAAGTGGTCGCATTATCTCTGCCTCGCGGTGGCATTTCATAGCACCACACTTGCTACATTTGCGTGGAAGGAGGGAGCCAACTTCCCGCTAGCCTTGGAGCTGTGGGCGGGGCCACTTTGCCTCGGGCCTGGCAGAAATCGCGCAGTAGTTGTGCGTTTGCTCCACTTGGGAAGTAAGAGACCACTGTTCATCCCGAGGATGGTTTCTTCCTTTCCTTCTAGGCTTTTGCATTATAATTAGAAAATGCAATTCACAAGTGAGCAAATTCCACAGGCTACGAAATGGACTCCTGTCAGCAAATAGCATCGCAGCCCTCAGAGATTAACATATTTAGAAGTAGTTGTAGAGCCTCAGAAATGATGCTGTCCTGACTCGGCATCGCTGTGTGCCTCCACACAAGGTCAGACAAGGTTAGCTGGGGGCAAAATGCACTCCTAGCCGGGGCCATATTAGGAAAATGCCGAATGCCGCTGCCCATGCTCAGCGCGCGCTCAGGCTTCGAGGGCCTGTCCTGCCCCGCAGTCTCCTCCCCGTCTTCCTGTGTGGAAGCGCTGCCCCCGTTTCCTTCTGGAGATTTCTTTCTTTCTCTGTCTGACAGTGCCCTTGGCTCTGGTTCCCGGTTACTAGCCATCAGCTCTATACCCTCCGCCACTGCCCTTTCCCAGGTCAAATCTAAAGCCATGGTGCTACCTGGGGACCTGCCCGAAGCTTTGGTGGGAGCGATCACTCCTCTTCTTCTTCTTCTT